GCACCTCTGCCTACCCCTTCGGGGATAAAAGGCGTGATGTTATGTTTATGTTTATGTATGTTTAAATATCTATAACTGCGACGAAACCGGTATTTCTACAGTACAAGATCCTGGCAAGATATTAGCTCCCAAAGGCATGAAAAGGATCAGTTCCATAACAAGTTGGGAAAGAGGTAAAAATATTACACTGTTATGTGCCATGAATGCTGCTGGTGGTTTTGTTCCTCCTATGTTCATCTTCCCTCGAAAGAGGATGACTCCGCAGCTCGAAAAAGATGGTCCAGCAGGAGCTATATACAAATGCTCAGATAATGGATGGATTAACGAAAATCTATTCTTTGAGTGGTTGCAACACTTTGCTAATCATGCCAAACCATCCTCACAGGAGCCAGTTTTATTGATTCTTGATAATCATGCCAGTCACACGTCTTTAATGGCTTATGATTTCTGTAAACAAAATCACATTCATATGCTATCATTGCCTCCGCACACATCTCACAGGATGCAGCCCTCTGATCTTACATTTTTTGGGCCGCTTAATGCTACAAACAAAGAAGAATGTGATTTATTTTTAAAGAATCGTCTAGCAGAAAAAATAACTCCATACGACGTAGCTGCAATATTAAACAGAGCATATTCAACTGTGGCTTCTATCAATAAAGGTGAATCAGGATTCCGAGCGGCAGGCATTGTCCCATATAACCCAGATCATTTCACTGAAAAAGATTTTACCGCAGCTGAAGTGTTAGCTCAACCTGCTGTTATAGTTCAAGATTCATCCATGGTTATACCTGCATCTACTTCAGTTAATCCAATGACAGCTATATCATCTAATGCAATTATTCCAGCGCCATCGACATCATCTGCTACCATAGATCCTGTGCCATCGACGCCACTTGCTACCATAAATCTTGTGCCATCAACATCATCTGCTACCATAGATCCTGTGCCATTGACATCATCTGCTACAATAGATACAAGGCTGCTTACATCTCCCACAGTAATGAATGCAACGCCATCCACCTCGTCCGGAACTATACAATCAAGCATCGCAAATCTGCTTCCATTTCCGACCCAAACAACTCGTGAAAGACTCGTAAGACAAGTACAAATGAAGCAACACGCAAAGATTTTAACATCAACGCCCGTCAAAGATAGTCTCATAGAAAAAGAAAATAAGAAAGCAGCAAAAACTGTAAAAACTTCTATATCATCAAAAGACAAAAATGCAGCACCGAAAGCTAAAGGAAAACAGAAAAAACTAGTGGCAAATAAGGCCAAAAGGCGCGTGCTGCAGGAGTCAAACAGCTCTTCGGAATCAGACATCAGTCTTACCAAGATTTGCGATGACGACGAAGACGACGATTTAAATAAATGCCTCGTATGCGATGAATTTGGTCGCAATAACAAACTATGGTACAGGTGCACCTCTTGCGGATTGTGGGCACACCAAGACTGCACTGGGTGGGATTCACCACGTGGATACGTATGTGATAATTGTTAGGGGGTGGTCTGTCTACCATTGTCCGCATAGTGACTATAATTACCCTCATGTGCGGACAATTGTGGTCAAAGCTGATTTTTTAAAAAAGTTTGATTGCTAGTAATTTATCATTCCAAAGGTAATGAAACTAATTGAGACTGATAGTTTAATAATAATGCTATCGTAAGTGTTGATTTTCATAGAGTTTATACAAATATTTTGTGTTTTATTTAATTTCTTGCTTAAGCGACTCCCATTACCCCTTTTTCCTCCAAAATACTAACCTGGATCCTGTTACCTTTAAATGTGGATAAATGACAATGACCAAATTTGTATGGAGCGTGGTGCCTTTTCATTTTTTCGCGGCAGTTGATCGGATGTGGAAAAACTGATGCAGAATAACATTACAAACAAAAAAATATATAGGGTCTTATATCAAAAATTCAGTCTGAACCGAGTTAAATCAGTTCAAAGATGTGAAAATAGTGCTATACTATTCCTCTTATTTTGTTGATGGTGACCGTATACAACGCATATTTCTTCTATTACACTTGTCAAAAATATTTTGTAATTTTGGTTTCATTTTTTTTTGTTCTATAAGCGCTCGGAATCAGATTAAAGTGAACCATTAACTGGCCACTGCTGAAGTAAAAAAAAAAAAATTTCGCTAGGTTGGCTAGTGTGTTCACGTTATATGTTATGGTTTATGGCCTATGACAGATTTTAATGATCAATATCCTCTCAGTCGAAAACCCGCAAAATACTTTACTGAGCTAGGGCTCAGTAAAGTATTTTGCAAACAATAGCATTTCATGATAGGTCATGAAATGCTATGTTTATCAGCTGCGGCGTCGGTAGCGGATTGAGTACCTAGCGGCAGTCGTCAAAACACGAAAAATTCATTTTTCTCCCGTCTTAATTCCGAATAGTAACTACTCTAACTACAGTTAATACTTTAATCTACAGCTAGCATAAGATTCTGTACATAGACATCGTTTCATATAAAGTGATGCATTTCGAATGATCACATTATATGAAAAAATTATGCGCTCATCTGACGTATAGTCCATCACTTTACAAAGTCCAAAGTCCCACCAGGAGCCAACGGCAAAAAAAAAATACTTTATTGGATGTTTGGACGGCTACAACTACTCAACCCACCAATGGTACCACAGCTGACACTCATGAAACTTCTCGACACAACTCCTAGAAGCATCCTACAAGTTGTCGACTGAGAGAAAATAGCTAATAAAAATTAGCGACTGGCAATATGGATATATTGTGGTGTGATTTGGTGTTTCTGTTCCGGGCGTACAGTGGCGCGCATTTTGAAGTTAGGAATTGTGACAAAAATATGAATAATTTGAATAAAAAAACGAAAGTAAAATGTTTTATGCCAGCTCCTTTCAACGCTCATAACTCAGTCCAGACTGAGATTTCCATATATGAGCCCATAGACAATTTCGTTTGTAATGACATTCTAGATAATATTTTCCATAAATCATCGACTGCCGCCAGAAAAAAGAAAGGCACCAATTTTAGTCAATGCCCTTTCAAGAAGTAACTGTTCAGTAGATTCTTTATCGAGTCGAAATCTCACTTGAAATTCGTAAGAATCCAGCAACGCTAAATAATCCACTCTTTCTTTATAAATTCTTTCACACCTATTATCTTCTTCCGAATCAGTGTCACTGGAGTTTGATATAATATAAAACATTTATCTATCACTATATGAACTTGACATTTTAAAATTTAAAATCAAAAACCGCAAAAATAGCGAGCTTACTTTAAAAATTCTACTCTAACCGACCGACATCGGCAGGTAACCAAATGACATTACGAATAGTCATCTTGACAGTCTACGGACGGTTAAAATATTTATAGGAACACCATAGACTCTCATCTCTATACAATACACTTACCGGTACCCTCCCATCCGTTAGTTGCAAGCCGTCAGTAAGTTGTACAACGAGACGTTTTTTATAGGAACGGTTTTGGCTTACGCCTCGTATATAAAATACTATTCGTAACTAAAACGGATCGTTTCTCAATTATAGGAACCGGGCATAATCCATTATCGCCTTGCATGGCTGATGGAAAGTGCACAAAACGATATCCGCGACCGTTAGTTGCTTAAACAGTCACAGGGAACGATGGATATCCAGTTTATCGTTGGCGTTCAAAATAAGATAATGGTCGAACTATCAAAGTTAAAGTTCAAAATCAAGAGATTGAGACCGGAAATGAATTCACTGTGCCATATTGCCCGCTGCTATCACCTATTTTCGAAACACGTGCAAACGTTGAGAGTTATCATTCGGCCAAATCAATCAAATATTTGTGCAAGTACGTCACTAAAGGCAGCGCGACATGGCTGTGTTTGGTATTGCGTCGGAAAATGCGATTGAAGAAATCAGCAACTTCCAAGTGGGCAGATATGTCAGTACTAATGAAGCACTGTGGCGATTATTGTCATTTCAAATTCATGAAAGATAATCCCACAGTTGTACATTTAGCAGTGCATTTGGAAAACGGACAAAGAGTTTACTTCAATGAGGCTAATGCGGCACAACGAGGTGAGAGACCCCCATCGACAACATTGACTAGCTTCTTTGCAATGTGTGAAGCAGATCCATTCGCAGCGACACTGGTGTACTTTGAAATGCCCAAGTTTTACACTTGGAATCAATCAACAAAGAAATTCCAACGTCGCAAACAAGGAACCTTCATCCTAGAATTATTTAATAGTTGATATTGTAAGCCTTTAAAATTGAAATGACCAATTGGTTACCGATCCACTCATCTTTTCCCGCGCATCTCGCGCCTATCGTTGCATTTTGAACGTAAAGTACCTATTATTTTTTCGTTAGTCTGTTGATTGTTTAAGAGCAAACTTCACGCGCGTGGGTTAAGACCACTTGACACAATGCCTAAAAAATAGTTAGTCTGGGATTTTTTGATAAAATTAAAGAAGGAAACAATGAAAAAGTTAAGTGTAAGCTGTGTTCGCATTCAGTAATATACTACAAAAATGCAACAAACTTAAAGGACCATTTAAAAAGGAAACATCCTATACAATTGGCCGAGTATGAACAAGAAACTACATAGACCCCAAGACAAAACAGCCTCAACCAGCAATCCCGCACCCACCCAGCCATCAAGAACTTTGGAATCTGACACTCAGTTGCACGAAAGTGTCCATAATGTGGACATTAACTAATGCACCTTTAAAGTTAATGTTTTCATTACGTTGATTGTTGTTGCACGAAGCCACATTAGCTTCGTAGCCTCCTTTCATTAACTAATCAGCAGTTTAACGGAATCATTAAATAAAGAGTGAATGAAGTGAATGATTACGTTCCGTTACAAGTATAAAATCATAATATTCTTGAAAAACGAAACGTTTTATGAAACAAAATGACGTTTATTGCAAAGTGACAATGACATTTCAATTTGTTTTCATTCGGAATTCGGTGTTCGTGCGTTTGTTTTTGTTGATTTAATATAAATTAAAGATATGTCAGCCCAAAGAAAACGTGGTTGTAATTACACAAATGAAGAAACTGCAAAACTCCTGGAGCTTGTGGAACATTAAGTATTATACCTATTAATCGACAACAAAAACACCACGCTATCCGTGTAGTGAATGTGTTTGGCAAAATGTTAAGTTCTAGTCAAGGTATGTAGGTCTATTCATTTACATTATTTGATTATTTTCTATGTTTTAAGGCATCGCACTTCAATAGAAGATAAAAGGACGGGTGCCATTTACTTACGCCAAAAACAAGAAGCGTGGGATAAAATTTGCCTTGCGTACAACGCTGTGGCAACAAATGGTGTGCGTACTGTCGGACAACTTCGAGTTATGTACGACAATAAAAAACAAAAGGCCAGAAAAGCCCTTGCTTTACACAACGTGAGAAGCTTTTTACTATATATTATTGTTCAATTTTAACATTTAGTGGGAACAAAATCGTTTAATTGCATTATTTGTTTACAGAAAAATGAATATATTAAAAACAATGTTGTGTTATCGTCATACAACATTTCTGAGACAGAATTTAAAGATGCAATCCAACATGAAACAAACGATAAGGTGGGTTAGGTGTAGAATGTGTTTTGATAATTATGTATTATTTATTGTGAAGATTGTCCTTATAATAACTCAAAATAAAGTATTAATTGTGAAATTTAAAATTACATCTTTATTCCAGGGACAGTGTAGTAAAACTGGTGGTGGTAGTTGGTGCCCCTCAGTTACAGAAAGTGACCAGAAAATTTTGGAACTCTTGAAAGATCAGGTCACTCCATTACACAATGAGTTTGATAGTGCTGCTACATTTTTTGGAGGTAACGATGTTCCCATCTCCAATTTAGTACCTATTTTATTGAAAGCATCCAAAAATGTTATCTTTATCAGCCTGTTGATTTGTCCCACTGTTGGAAAATGGCCTCCTCTTAGAGGGGTTAGGCAGTAAGATGCCGAGAGCGATGTCTTTAGCTCACATAACTTTTCCTTATACAAAAAGTCATTGGTCTGGTTTCGAACACACGACCCTCGGAATAAAAGCCGGAGATATCTACCCCTAGACGAATAATGCTCTCATTTAAGTAATGGTTAACTAGGTAAACGTCTGTAATGTTAACCATTACTTAAAATAATTATTAATTTTATTACAGACACAATCAATATCATGGGCAGTGAAGACCACACTCAAAATGTTGTTATTATTGATAACGGTGTGCTGTCAGGTAGACACGGTAAGTTATATAACGTGATACTCTTTAGCTAGCTTTAGTAGACAAATTAAAAAATAAGAGAAAAATTCTGAAAACACAATATTTGCAGGTTGCATTTTGACCGCAGTTTTAATGCAGTCGTACCAACTGGGTGTAACCTGCCAATACAGTCAAAATGCAGCCCTTCTGTCTACACCCTTACATACATAAATTAACACACAACACACACATTACAACTACATTTACTTATTTATTACAAAAAATTAAAATAAGTATTTGGAGATAAAGTTAAAAAAGTTTTCAATCTGAATCTGACTTATCAATATCAACTTAACTTTATTTGCAGAAGCTGATCTCTCATCGAAAATGAATGCAACACCAAAATGTGGAAAGACTCCAAAAATAGTGAAAAGAAGACAAAATGGTAAATATCTATTGAAAATTGCATTGAACCTTAGCATAACTACCAAACTGGGTTAGGGGTTACTTCAGGATAAAGTGGGCCATGTCAATTCAAAAGATATTGCACATTCCATTAACTAACAGGGGTGTCAAGACCTAAATTTGCTAACAAGTTGTTTTGTATCACTTACATCAAACCTTACTTATGTGCACCATTGCATGTACTTACTTTGTATTTGGTTATTTTAGTTTTCTTTTATGCCTATATTTTTAGGTAGGAACCTACTTATTCAAGTGCTTATTATATTTTTTATAGCAACTACACCTCACCGTCCCAAAAGAAATGGACAAGTAAATTATAAAGTTCTCTACTTCAAAAGAAAGAGCCAAAATGCATATTTGGAGAGAAGGCGCTTACATCAAGAAATCAGACTGCGACAAAAAGAACATAGCTTGTTGTTGAAGGAACATCAAATAAGGCTTCAACATATGGAAGAAGAACACAAAATGAAGATGAATAAATAGCAACATTTTTTATAAAATTCATCTTTATTTTGTGTTCTTCTGTATTATTTTTCAATAAAAATAGTATTTTTTTAAAAGTATGTTTCATTTATTGCCAAAACAAATTTTATATTAAAATATCATAAACCGCATAAACCTAATTAAAAATAGTTTTATTTTACTAATGATGTTCTCACAGAGAAGTCTTGGTGGCCATGTATTGAGGTGTCAGGTAGATCGAACTCTATATTTATGTCACCCATGGATTCCTCTTCCAATTCTACAGCTATATTATGTAGCACAGCAGTTGCTACAATAACTTTCAAAATAGTATCCATTTTTCTTAGTGTTATCCCTTTTTGAATACATGGAAATCTTCGTTTCCAGACACCAATACACCGTTCAACTGTGTTTCTTGTAGTTATATGACTCTTATTATAATTTTCCTCACCTATTGTTTGTGGATTTATAATTGGAGTAAGTAAAAATCTCTTACAAAAATACCCACTATCACCCAGCAAATAAAAATTTTGGTATAGTCCATTTTCAAGCTCAGCACATAGCGGAGAATTGTTCAATATAGTACTATCATGTACTGATCCAGGCCATCGAACAATAATATTTCTTATTTTCAATTTTGCATCAGATAATAATTGTACGTTCATAGAAAAGAATCCTTTTCGGCATCTGTAGCACTCTGCCAAACGGCCTCCTGGTGAATTTATTTTCACATGGGTGCAGTTAATTGTACCCAGTACTCGTGGAAAACCTACCAACTTATAAAATTGTTCAGCTATGCCGTGATATTCTCGCTGAGTAGGCATTTTTATATACATATGAGCCAAAGAAGCAATGGCATTCGTCACTTTTTGAATAATTCGGCATATAGTAACCTTGTCACAACTCACCAAATCAGCAAGAACTTCTTGAAAGCTACCAGTTGCATAAAACCTGAGTGTGATCAGCAATTGTGTTCTAGCGTCAATAGCTTTCGAACGTCTGGTGATAGGTTTTATTCGATTGTTGATTTTCTCCAGTATGGCTTGAACAGTTTCTTTTTCGAACCTAAATCTTGATCGGAATTCACTATTTTCGTATTTGTTCCATAAGTCTATTCTATTAGGTAAACGTCTAAACACTACTTCTTCATCTGATAACGATGAAAGAGATGTTAGAGACATTTTAAAGGAACGCAATGAATTTATCACAAAATATACGTGGAGCTTCGTTGTGTTCACTTGGGTTAAGGAAGGTTTAATGGCTCCAAAGGCATCCATTAAATTTTTACTAATGAAATGTCAATTATAATCCTCCATTAGGGAGTTTTATTGTTTCTTGCAATGCAATATGGCGTTAATGAGGGGCTAGTGACGTCAGAAAATTAGTTTTAATGGACATTAGATATTTCATTAAATTTCTGATTCTTGCAATAGAAAAACGGATTTAGTGTGGCATTAAATTTTAAATGCCGTCATTAAACATTAATGGACTTTCGTGCAACTGAGTGTGAGTCACTGAATGTGGCCACGCCAGTAGCGCCCCCAGCAGCAAAAAGATCTCGACAATTAAGACTGTACGCGGCGAGTAGCAAGGTAGATAAAGAAGTTTTAGATAAGAGTTTAATCCCGTTGATAGTAACTGACTATCAGCCTTTATCTCTCGTAGAGGTAGAAAACAAAGGATTTAAAGAGTTTGATACTGTTTCAGTAAAGTTGCGGCCTAATGAACACCAAATAATTAATAAAACTTTGTGTAATAATTATGATAGACAATATCTCTGATTGGTCTATAACTTGCGTCGCAAGTTATAGCAACAAAAGCTACGTAACGATCACCGGCCATTTCATCTGGCAATATGAATTGAAAAACTGTGTTCTTGGGACTGAAGAAGTTATTGTAAGTCACACTGCTATAAATATCGGGGAAGCTATCTTAAAAATATTATCCAAATTACCAGGGTCTCTCAGTAAAATCTCCGTGGTCGTGACAGATAGTGCAAGTAATGTAAAAAAAGCCGTGATTGATCACTTAAGAAAAACTAATCTAGACAGATTAGTCAAATCAAATAGGGAGAGATAATAGGTATTTAAATGAAATGTTTAAAACTATTTTTTTTTTAATCTTGTTACGCTATAAAATACATCTTTTAACTGATAACACAAGGCGAGGCAAGGCACACACAACCTCTTGTCACGCAAAACTGGTTTTAACAATGGGCAAAGTTACTTGACCCTATTCAGGTAGTCGCTCGACCGCTCAGTGTGACCGTTAAGAAACCGCGAGGCTCGCGGTTTCTTTTTTTTTAAGGTTTTTAAACCCCGACATATTGCTGGACTCATTTAAAACGTTCCGTACCATCTATAGCTCATTTAGGGCAAATGTTTCCAGGTAATATGTTTATCATTAACTTCAAATATTTCATTTATGAATTGAGTCTGCATCTTAGTTAAAATTGATTAAATAATTATTTAAAATACCTTATTTCAATTAATTTATTCGTTTATAAATTAATCATTTAATATATTTATTTTCAGGATTATGTCCAACAAATTTAACAGAATTAGACAGGGAATGGAGAGCTCTAAGAAACACTAATCTTCTATTTCAAGGGGATCAGCTAATCAAAGCAGATGAGTTTTAGCGTCACATTTCAAAAATAAGAAAAGGCGATTTCTCTCAAATGTTTCCTTTATTGGCCCAATTTGCACAAAATTTATTAACATTGCCACATAGTAGTGCGAATGTCGAGCGACTGTTTTCTGCGATAAATTTGATGAAAACTAAGATAAGAAACAGGCTTCACACTGACACACTCACAGGATTACTTTATACGAAAAGTGGCTTGAAAAAAAAACCGCGAGCCTTCGCAGGAACACTTAAAGCATTTTAATAAAAATATGTATAAATTTAATTTGCCTGAAAATGATACTATATAATAAAAAAATAATAATAATTTAAATAAAGTAATGATACTGAAAGTAAACTTGTTTAAATTAACTACAGGTGGTATAAGTTTACCAGAATCTCATGGCAAATAAGCCAAACTTTATACACAAATATGGAGGTGCGACGCGTTTGCTGTCGACGACGTCGGAACAGGGTGGCAGCACGATAGATGGTCTGTCAGCTGCCATTCTTGCGAAACGTCACTCCGGTGGAAGCGGGGCGGCCATCTAAAACACTTTTTGAATGGACAACCGCCAACGCACCACGCGCTCGACGAATCGCTTCTTTCCGACGCCATCTGTAACAGTTTCTAAGTTGATTTAATTTAGTTACATTATCTGTGCCTAATTAAAGAGTGTTAGAGTTATATTTTGTTATTAAGAAGAAATAAATCATTGGAAAATTAATTAGTGACTTTGTTCGTGTTTCTGACATCCGTGAAACATGGAAGATTCTGATATAGGCCATCCTGAGTTTATAAATATATTAAAATCCATTCATTATTTAACCTTATTTATTTCATACCCTATGTGCAAATATATAAATATCTATATAAATAAATGATTTTATATTTGCATATTTGCCATGAGATTCTGGTAGACCTATAATTCATAGATTTTTTGTTTGCTCACAGTAATTTATTTTTAAATTTATTGTGTGTCTGCTGTCTACTACTTTTAGGGTAATATAAATTGTCGTTTTATTTACTTTTACCTACCCTACTCTCTTAATTTCACTCAGAATAAAAGTACGTAGATCTACGTATTTTCTATATGGCAATTTCACATTTCTACATAATTTTCTTTATCTGACCTACGCCTTTTTTAAAATCCGAGTTGGCAACACTGCCGCGAGGCGAGCGGCCTCGCGCTCACGCCACTATGCGTGGCAGTATGACGCTACGTTGCGGCAGGATCGGACACGTACCAAGCTGTTATGAGAAGTACCGTAACGAAATCGTAAGTTTTTTATGTGTTTTCTTAGCGTTTTGGATTAATATTTTTTACAGTTCGCTCAGATGTTATAGTAAAAGTCTTAATAATAACACTTGTAATAGTTTACTTAATCTAGTCTTATACAATATACATGCGAGGAAATAACGTTCTAAGTATATACCTCGTGTGTTCATAAGTTTTGAGACAAACTTTTTGCTTATAAAAATAAAATAATTGCGAGGATTACGTTTGTTTAATAAGTTTAGTATTTTGTCACATTTAATGCATTAAAAAAAAGTATTAATTAATTGAACTTTAATTTTATTATCAACGCAAGCAATATGAACCCTCAAAATTTATTTTCATAAAAGTAAGAATTATATTAATATATAAGGTGTTAATAAATTCGCTCTAAATATTTTATGAGGTTGGTGGGAATCAGTGAATAGACACGTATATCAAAAAAAAAAATTAAAAATTAAATTACTTTTATTTTAACAAAAATAAAGGAGTTCGTTAAAATTTTTTGTGCAATCTGTACGCGGGGCTGCGCTTGCGGCCCGAGCGAAATTACGGCGCTCCGTCACCGGCCCCATGTTATCACAATCTCTCTTTCTTTCTCCCTCTCTCTCTCGCGATCGCTAGTTGCCGCGCTATCTCTCTCACTTCTTTCACTCGATCGCCTGGCGATCGAGTTCGCCAGTTGACCGATGGCTGTTGCGCGGGAATGGTGTATCGCTCAGTGTCGTTCAGTGTCATTCAGTGTTGTGTCCGATCAATCGCACGCGCCATTTTTTATTGTTTATTATTCAATAATGCCGTTTACGTACAGTAACCGCGAGTACTTAGACATGATAGTGTGTTACATTAGAAGTGGCCAAAATTTATCTGCAGCTCGTACTATGTACCAGGAACTGTATGGTGCTCAACGACGAGTACCGGCTTTGCAGACAATCCTGGGAGCTTACCAGCGTTTACTAGATTATGGTCAGTTTCGTCCTCCCCAAGCAGATACCGGCAGGCCGCGGTTTTCCGGCGATATTGAAGGACGAATACTTGACTACTTCCACGAGAATCCACACGCGAGCACACGCGACGCAGGTCGTGACTTAGGAATAAGTCACGTTACCGTATGGAACA